CTGACTACCCCAACTCTCCTGGTGGTCTGACAGGGTAATCATGGAGCATAAACCTACCTCAGATGGCGTGTAGAACTGTACTGTTCCCTCAGGCTAACTTAGTGGCTACTCTTCAGAATTGCTCAAAATCTTTTTTTTTTTTTTGAAATAAATTTTTAAATTCAACTTTATTTGCTTATTTACTTATTTTAATTTGACCAAAGAAGGGTAGAGTGAGAGAGAGAGAAAGTGAGAAAGCAAGCCACCGGGTCCAGGGCTTTGAACCACAGTCAGCCATGTGGGAGTCCAGTACCCTTAGCCATGATGCTACCTGCCAGCCCCTGCTAAAAATCTTTTAATGCAAGATCAGAGTGAAGAGGAGGTCTGGTACCTGCTATTCAACTCACCTGAGAGAAAACAGAAAGGTGTTGTTATCCTTGGTCTTTTAACATAACTATGATTTTTTTTTTTGAGAGATTTTTGCTGTAGAGAGTGTACGCTCACCAGACAGACAGACAGAAAGCAAGAAATCAGCCCTCAGAGGGGATGACCATGCTGTAGTCCCTTTTCCTCCATTCTCCTCTTGGGACATTGGGCATGTGCACACACATGCCTGGTATGAGTTTTAAGCCACTAGGTCTGGGACTCGAACAGCAGTCGGCCATGTAGGAGTCCAGTGATGTAACCATTACACAATCTGCTGGTCCCAACATAACCAATGATGCATGTTGATGTTTCAAACTTCTTCACGCCACCTCCAAGGACAAGCACCAATCAGGCAACACGAATGACACAGACATGAGCCTCTGGTTCCATTTTATTAAAAAGAAAACCAAACAAAATTTTGCAGTGAAATTTCCTGAAATTCACAATCTTTGTTTCAAAACCGTTATAGTTTGCAATATGTTTTTTAACCAATACATAAGAACACGATTGCACTTATTTACATTACAATCTTCTATATAACAAAAAGCCATGGCGTACGATTGAATGAATGTTTCCAAGGATCATCCTTAAAATTTCACCACTAGCCCAGCAGGAGACAAAATGTTTATGTTCTCCAAACACACAAAGAATAGAATAAAGCAAAAATTCTGTCTCATAATAGAAGACATTCCTTTAAAGACAGTTCCCTCCCCCCAAATTTCTTTGTATTTTAAGAGAAAGTTAAAGTGCTTTGAAGGGAGTAGGGTAGGTGCCTGAGGTGAGGGAGAAGGAAAGAGATTATACAGAAAAACAACTCCACTGCCTTAACTAATTATCTAAATATGCACATGACTTTGTACAGGAAAGGGTGTTTGGGTGAAATGGCTATATAACCCACTTTTACATTATATTAGCAATTAAGAAGTAACCAAAATTCAAATGTAAAACTCCCCATGCAAATACCATCAGGAGTAACTTTTCGTGATTTATATTATTTATTTTTTTGGTCAAATGGCAAATCAAGAAAGCTTAGTGTCATGATCTGAATGTGCAGAGGACAGCCCTATCAGTTGGGACCATCATATCCAGCATGTGGCCTGCAGACTGGCCAGGAAGACCTTGTCGAGAAGCTAAGTCATTCTACCTGTCCCATCACCCATTTTACAATAAGAGCACATCACCCAACAAACCCATTGGATTTTCCTTGGACTCGTAAGGAGATGCTAGAGATTGATTCATAATGTCAGGTCTGAGCACTTTGTAATTGTAAATTCTTTGCAGATTTTGTTTTCTGGTGGGAAAACAGAATGTGCTATATACTAAAGGATTTAAAATAAGTAGGATTCTTTTTTTCCCTTCACATTTTTAAACTGGTAATTGCTGGTTATGGTCTGCAGTCTACAAAACTGGGTATCGCTGCTTGGAAGTTCCCCTGGAAACTAGAATAATTATCCTCCCAGCTCATGAATATCTTAAAGAACAATTTTTTTTTTTTCAGGAAATGGATGGAATGTAACTTTTCACAAATACAAAATTACTTCAAGTTTTCTAAATATAAGGGACGTCCCACTATAAAAATAAGAGCCCCATCCCCATCCTCCCCCACCCATAGATCTCTAATTATAAAATGGTACAACCATTCCAGAGTACTCATGTGAAAGCGGGAAGTAAGTATATTATGTACATGTACAAAACACGTGAGTATTTCACACCATTTACATTCATATGAAAGTCTTTATTGATCTTTCTTTGCAAATTCACAAGAAAGTCGAGACAAGTTACAAAACGAGCAGGCCCTCGCTCTTAACTCTGCACACACATCCCAACCAGAGGAATCTTCTTTGAGAACAGAGCAACAATACACTTCAATATTTTGCAGACGAGAGGGCTGCTGACAGCGAGAGGAGCTCCTGTGGGATATCCTTCAATTTCTCAAGAGTCTGTGAGACAGTCTGTCCTCTTTTGCTAAGCGTAGAATGAAATCTCAACTACTGAGGAAACTGTACTGTGAAAGGCAAGTAACTCGTTCTGAGGAAATGGTGACCTAAGTCAAATTAATTTGCTGAAAGAAAAATGGCGATTATTCCAGCAGAGGGCACTCTGTCCCTTGTAATAACATCCTACTGAACAGTAAGTGCCACAGATGCCAACAGACAGACTGAGAAGTCCACGTGTTAGTCGTGTCAACTGCTCGACTACCTATTAGTACAGGCAACCGTTTGGTATTTTCTTCAAAAAAGAAGGATATACTATAATTAGCTAGCTCTTAAACATGAAAATTCTTTGGCTATTTAATATTTAAAATCTTCGCATTCTCAAAGAGAACAACATCCTAAGTTCAATAAAGCGCTAGATTCGTCTGGAAATTTCGAAGGAAGAGGGGACTAATGGCTAGACTTTAAAGACGATGTGGTACCAAGGCCATGGTTCATTCTCTTTTTTTAGGTTTCTGGATTTAGCAAAGTTAATTTTCTCTCACCAGCCAGTGAGAGAAAATCCCCTAGGGTTTCCTGGTGTCATTCAACCACACAACCCACCTGTGCTTCTATGTATGCGACGGTGAGGAGAAAATGCAACTATCAGTGGAAGAAACGTGTGTCCATTGGATGGTGATCAGTCTTTGGTTTATCAGCACACATGGTCCCCACATTTTCCCTGCCTCTCCAAGTCCCTCACTTCAGTAAGGAAAACAGACCCCGGACACTCTGCCAAGCACTGCCTGGGTAACTCAGGTTGAGATACATTCTTTCTAGATTTTTCTCCCTTGCTGTGTTCAGACCTGCAGACCTCGTAAGAGTCACGTATTCTTGCCTTATCATTATCGCCAACACGGTTATCAAGTAGCCGTGGAGCAGGTGGCTCTATAGTAAGTGCAAACACCAGTAATAGCACAGGCTTAGCTCTTTGATGATTGAGAAGCTGAAAAAGCCACTCGACTATGAAGCACTCAAGACAGGTAGAGAGAGACATGATTGACTCCAGCAGGTGCGTATAAAATAGGCAGATATTGCAATTAAAGGGCTGGATAATTAAGGGTCTACATTCAAGGATCTGGACTTGCCTCATTAGTTCTGGAATGATAATTTAGTGCCATCGAAAGGCTCAAAGTGGGAGAGTGCGGCTATTGATCTTTAAAATGACTGTTTCTGTTACAAAGGATCTAGGGCTGTGAGGGGGGAGTAAAAGTGAAGAAGAGAGAGAACTAGGTGATGAGAAACGCAACCTGCGTCTCAGAATTAACGTGTTTTCTGGGCAGTCTTGACTGTCTTTGCAGTCATGAGTGTTGAAATCATGATTAAATACACATTCCCGAAGTCCCTAGCTACCCCTACACCTAGGAGATGAGCACTCACTCAGGAGAGCACCTGTGTTTCGTTCATTGCTGCAGCTTTTCCAGCCCTGCTTTGACCAGCTTCCTATCCAGAGAGCCTGCCACTGTCTGCTAGCTCCCTGCAGGGTGAGGTTTCCATCCCCCTCTAACTGCCGTTCTCCCATGTGCTCATCAGTCCTGGCCATGCAGTTGCACCGATGAGGGACTTAAAGATGGTGTGATACTAAGGCCATGATTCATTTCTGCACTCAGGGACCAGCAGATGGTGTAATGGTTATATTACTAGACGCCCGTATGATTGACCGCGGTTCGAGTCCCAAACCTGGTGGCTTGAAATTCATGCTGGGTGTGTGCATGCATGCCCAAAATCCCTAGAGGAGAATGGAGGAGAAGAGATTGTGGGATGGCCTATCCTCTCTGGGGGGTGGGTTCTCATTTTCTGTCTCTGTCTCTCCAGCAAGCACATGTGCCCTGTAGCAAAAAATCTTAAAAACACACAAACAAAAAAGAAAACACATTTTCTGCATTCATTCAGTGCACAGAGCACTGCACAAGGAACCCCATCTCCACCTTGGGAGGATAACTTCCTTGTGCCTCCGTGTCAGTCTTAGTAATTGCCCCAGCTGCTTAGAAGAATGCAGGCTCTGGTTCTGAGCTGTGAAGGAGCACGAGCAGGCATCAGTACAGGACATACAAGCTTTTCTAAGAAATACTCACCCAGGGGCAGGTGAACTAGCAGGGTTACAAATGCCGAGGGGTGGGAGATAACAGACCTAAAAAGCATTCTGCAGTTGCTACCTTACGGTGACCGGACTAGGAGACTTTGCAGGCAAGAAGGTCTGGAAAAAAAGGCAAGAGTGTAGGCGACCAGTCTGAGATACAACTGGAGATGGGAGAAGTGGAAACGAGGCCAACTCTCTTAGGGAGGAACTTAGTTTATCTTTCTAGTAAAACTGGTTTTCCTCATCAGAAGTGAAAATACAGACATTACCACACAATGAAGAGAAGAAAAACAACAATGGTTGTCGCAATAATAGTAACTCCATAGACACAAAACCACTGATGGTTTTTTTTTTTTTTTTTTTTTTTTTTTCTTGAAAGTCGTTTTTTCAAATTTGAACAC